ATTCATGTTTCACAGAAATTGTAGTAAATTATTCGATAGTTACAAAAAAAGTATATATGACAAACATTTACTTCCAAAAATTTCAAACAATGAATCTATATTATAACTGTTCGCAACTTTTCATCAAACAAATTAATTCATGTAACATTTTAAATCAAGTGTCATTTAAAATAGAACAAATTTTGGGAACAATCGTTTTTAATGTGTCGAACAAATGCATGAATCAATTAAATTCAAACTAATACATTGTTAGTTGAATAAATTGAGGAATGAATATTTGTGACAATAAGAAGTAAAACGGCGTTCCATAAGAAAGTGAAACTGAAAAAAATCACTATCAAATGTTAGAAATGAACACCATAAACTTTTCCACGATGATATGAACGTACTTCTGTTTTTCCCTTACACAGTGAAGATTATCAGGTGTTACTAACCTACATCATCTGGTAATTTGTTCCTGTAAATTATCTACAGTAGTTGGCTACGACTCGTAGACTTTTGATTTTAACCATCCTCATAGAAAAAAACCCAGTGGACTCAAATAGGGGGTTCTGGAACCTTCAACATTTGGATATGTTGTCAAAATGAATGGTCCTTTAATGTGGTTGTTGGAAATTCCTGCCAGTAGCACACTTGAAGTTTTGCTAGAGTCATCTTTGAAATACAGAGCTTTCAGGTTTTTTCATGTAGACTTTGAAAAACACACTTGCATCAAGTAGGCTTTGGTCGATTCGACGATAAAACAGAAATAAATTGTTTAGTAGTAGCCATCAAATGTTGAGAAAGCTTTTCATAACGAAGAAAAGAGAAATGAAACTTTCTATGTTAATGTATAAGTTTGAAAATGTCTTCATAGGACGAAACTGCAGTAACATTAGTTACAAATAAAAGTGGCAAAAAACATAGAAAGTTTCATTTCTTTTTTCTTCATTATGATTTCCTACCATGTAGTAACGGCTACATCCATCACTTTTCATAACAGTAATTGAAACGCAAAGTTTCAATAAAACTGATAACAATATATACTATCTTCACCATTAATAAATGAAACTTCAACAATGATAAAAATAATGATAAAGAACAAACAATGATATATATTTCTTCAGAGAACGTGTTCGAAATGTCTATCAGCTTCTTCCAAACACAGACGACACCTTTTCTGAAAGTTTTTTGCCGCAATAATCAGTTCAATAGGAGTGAGAGAAGCAAAACTTTGCATCACTACCGCTTCAAATTCGTATCTAAAATTGGTCGGCAATTCGAAAATAAGATCCATCAACCTTCCCCAGAGGTGAAAGTCCTTAGGCCTCAGTTTCGGTGAACTTCCAACTCCTTATCCATATTTTATTTATATAAGTTTGGCGTTTTCTTTTCGAATTGACTGCCATCAATTAGGAGGTGTCGCAATCTTGCGAAAATGTCTAATAGGTTGTTTTCTCTCTGGATACCTCTCGTGATACAAATTGCTTGCTGCTTCTGTATTGTCTTCGGTTTGTATAAAACAGACTATGATAACCCATTTTTCATAATTCTTTGTTAATGTGTTTGAAAATTGAACAAAAACCACTAATTGAGAGTGTCTTTACTGCTTAAATCAAAATTTGACAGCTACCAGTAAAGATTTGCATTCTATTTTATTGCCACATCGTCCAAAGCCTACTTGATGAAAGTGTGTGTTTCAAAGTCTACATGAAAAAACCTGAAAGGTCTGTGTTTCAAAGATGACTCCAGCAAAACATGAAGTGTGCTACATTTTTGGAAAGGTAATTTTAAATTCTATTGAAATATGCTGGAATATACAGGGTTTCCCTTAGAAAAAATGTTTTCCATGAATAACTATTGATATCTCATTTTAAAAAAAATGTATTTCATTCTATTGAATTCTACGTATAAAGTGTTATGGAAATGTTTCCATAGAAATAAGGAATTTTTGACAGAAAAATTGAATTCTACGTAAAAAGTTCTTTGAAAATGTTCTCATAGAAACTAGAAATTTTTGACAGGAAGAAAGTTACAGCAACTTTTCGAAAATGCACATTTTCAAAATACATGCTGTAACTCAAAAACGATGATAGATATCTATATGCGGTTTTCACCATTAAGTTAGTCATAAAATTGGATCCTCAGACACAGTCATCAATTTTCATCTATCTAGTTTGAAAACAGGAGTTTCCCTTCAAAACGGTACAATTTGGCCCACTTTGTACAACTCACTCCTTATGCTTGGGACGACTTGTGGAATATCTTATGCATATCTACTATCCAGGCAATGTGGACTAGAACTGCAACAATGATGCTTTCGTTATTAATCGATGCTGAACGGCCATGTTGTCTGTTACTACCGTTACCAGTTTTCATGAATTTATATAACAAATTCAATTCATATTTATGTCTTGAAGTTCTGCCCGAATGATTCATGAACCCTCGCAAATGTTTCATGTTCGTAGTGTATGATCCATTTTTTGAACCCAGTTCAAACTGGACAAAAATAAAAAAACTCATTTTAGAATAATTTTGACATAAACATCAACTCCAGCAGTAGTAACTAAGTCATCAAATTTTGTGAGTTCTTGTTTCTGTTGTTTTCATTAGTATTAGTATTATTCAGTATTGTTCATCTTGTACATTTTTGATAGTTGTTCAAGTGGACCTTCTAGTTTGGTATTGAATAAAAAATTTTTTCTGGCATTGCTCACCGTTGTAATGTCAAAATACAGGGCTGGATACATAATTGACATTCAACTATTAGTTTTCTTTTGAAATTTTTGAGATGAAGATAGGGATGGGTTGATTTTTACACAGAAATGTGCTCGTCTGAAAATCAGAGTAGACATTCTTCACTATTTTTCAGTCTCAATATAAAATCATTTATTAGGATGGCTAGTTTGAACGGGAATGATCTGTATGACAATGCGCACATACTTTATATTTGTTATACAAAAACCGAAAGTGATTATCGTTTATGTATTCGCTTTTGTTCCAGAATTTGAAGAAACCTTACTGTAATACATTTTTGTTACATTATAAACATTCACTGTTTAAACTCTTTAAACTTTGTTTAGGGTTGCAATTTCGAAAAGAATAATCGGTTTTTTGACCAGTAATTTGACTCCTTCCACTTTTTGTTTCAATTCTGATCGCGCATGATCGAATCCGGTAGGGAAATTTTTGATGAGCAGTAAATCGATCATTTTTTGGCAATGTTTGCAGTTTCTTTGAAATATCCTCAAATATGTAACTTTTTATACTTTAACGAATCATTTTGTCGTTTTCTATCTGCTATGCAAATAACGAATGACATTGTTGTGAAAAATGTAACTTTGGTCGACGCTGATCTCATCGATCAACTGATGCGACTTGGTCAATATCGCGCTTATCCCTATTCGTACCCCTCTAGAAAATTCTGGCACGCTGCGTCCGATCGGGGGCTTCGAAATATTTCTATCCCGTTATATAAGCATTACCGCCACATGGGAAAAGCAGTCCAGTTTGGAAAGTGCAGTGCGAAGTGAACAAATAAGGCTATAGACATTTGCGCATTAGTCTGAGTGTTTTTGTTGTATTGACAGTGTAGTAGTGAAATGAAGTTGAGTTCAATTATACAGTGTGGTCAATTATTGTCGAACCCATGGGAAAAACGTAATAATATTGAATGTTCAATTTTCAGTATGTTCAATTTGCTCAACCACATATGATGGATGAA